GGGCAAAGGGGTTAATTTTTTTTGGGCCCAAAGGGGAGGGGGTCGCCTTATTTTCTTCCCCCCCCCGCCCCCCCTTTTGCCCAATTCAGGGGGGGGCCCCCCCCGGGGGGAAGGTGTTGGAAACCTTGGGCAACCCCCCGTTCCGGGAGGGGCCCGAGGGGCCGGTGGGCCTTTGCCAGAAAAACCCAAATTTCCCCCAGGGGGGGGGACGCGCCCGGATTAGGGGAGCCCCCCCGAAAAAAAAAAACCCCCGGGTAGGTTTTTTTAGACCCGAAAGAGAAAAGGGGGGAAAAGGGAAAAAAAAAATTCGGCCCGGGGGGCGGCATTTCCGGGGGGGGGGGGGGGGGGGGGCAATAGCGTGGAACGGGGGTGGTGTGCCAGCAGAGCAAACTGGCGATGACTTGGAACACATGGCATGCGAGATACTTGCTGTTGTTGCTGTTGTTTGGTAGCATTAGTTTGACGTGGTCACCACCTTGGATAAGATCAACACAACCGGCGGGGAGTAAAACGCCAAACGACAGACACCCCCCCACCGCTTCACCGCTGCCGAAACGAAACGACTCATGGTCTTGTCCACAAAAACTCACGAGGAAAGCATGCGTCGTCAATGCTCTGAATGTCGCACACAAGCTCATGAGTAAAACATCTTCAAGGCCCCGAAGTTCGCACACGAGCACAAACGACAGCAGACTAGCACTTGGAGCGTAAAAACGGACTGCACACTTGTAAAAACTCTACCTCCGACAGTGGGTCCGGTCCCGAAGGGTCCCCTTCCTCGCCGCTAGCCCCGTCCCCGGGGCCGCTCTCATCGCCCCCGTGCCCAATGGACACCATCTCAACCTCTGCGCAGACCACCATCACGGAAGGGGGCATTGAGGGGGTTAGTCGATACACACAACGCCTCTACGTTCCTACTTCACCGTCGGACGGAAGAGAGTCACGGGGCGTCCACGGGTGCGGATAGCGCGGCTCATGGCACCGGGACACCTGGTAAGGTATGTTGTTCACTAACGTACGGCATGCATTCAGGCGAGAGCATATCCAAACGACTGCCGATCATTACATTGTTCAGAGCGTTGCCAGTCCTCCCCACCTCATGCGAAGGGAGCCCCAAAATGGTAATAATAGTGCCAGTTAAGTCCTTTCCATGCCTCTGATATAGCGTCAATCTTTCGCATGCA